TATTCAAGTTATTGTAAAGTAATCCAACGATTCACATTACTAATGTGGATTTCTGGTTGATATGATGTCTTGTTTGAGCTACTTGAGTTAGGGTAATTTTGTATTAATTAGTAGAGAAATAGTATTTCCACGCAACTCAGAAGTTAGGTAAATATTGTAATCATACCTTCATAATGAAATAAACAATTTATTGTATTGAATGTATAAATAATGCAAAACTAGTATTGAATTTCATTAGTGTACTGAAATGGTAAAATCTGAATTGGTAATAAATAATACTAGAAGTAAAATAAGTAAATATTTATGGGTATATATTCTTAGATGTTGAGGCGGTCAAAAACTAACTCACCGGTAGTTTGGATAATATGAAAATGTCAGTTTGTTGAAACAGAATTGAGTTTATGATAGATCTTTGGATAAATTTAAGGTACTAGTGGTATTTGATAAACGGGGCTATTATGGCAAATTATATCTTGGAAGAGTGTGCTGATTGTCAGTTTTTAAATTAATTCAGAATTTCTACTCTTTAAATAATCTACAAGAAAATTCCTAACTGCTCCACATCTTTGAAGTTTTCCTGGCATAAGGAATGGTGAGAATCTTTCTTTTAAAGTTTGCAGTATATAGCCTTTCACGTACAGTCATGCATTGCTTAATAACAGGGACATAGTCTAAAAAATGCATTGTTAAGTGATTAGGCAATTTCATTCTTGTGTGAACATAATAGAGTGTACTTAGACAAATCTAGATGTTATAGGTTGGTCATTTGACATTAAGGGAAAAAGTAAACATGAAATGTATAAGCCTGCTGATGAAATGATATATTTTTTATACTTCACTTTTTTTAAAAAACAAGTAAAGACATACACTCTAAAATAGTAACAATAGAATAGTAAATACGTAAACAAGTAACAATAGTTTTATTATTATTATCAAGTACATGTACTGTTCACAATTGTTTGTGTTATAGTTTTATCTGACTAGTTGTGCACTAGGTTTATTTATATTAACCATATCTACAAACATGAGCAAAGCATTGCACTCCTATATATTATGATGGCAACAAAGTCTCTAGTTCACAGGAATTTTTTAGCTTCATTTTAATCCTGTAGGACCACAATCATATAGTAGTCCAAAACTGAAGCATAGTTGGTTTGTGACTATGTGTCTGCCTTATGTTTTTTTAAGTTTTTAAAATGATGACTGGTAGAGTGAAGCTTTTAACAAGATGTGAATACTGTGCTATCCTTATTCTTTCTTTTTAATATTTTCTTCCTATTAGTAATGATGTATGGAACTTGTCTACATATTCTTATGCAATTAAGAACTGAGATTATAGTTACAGAATTAGAAAAAGCTAGATGGCCAATCTCCAGATTGAATTTAGTTCTCAATTTCAGGTGCCTTACCCTAATAGTTGTCATATTGAAGTGAGAAGGATACCCATTGAGACACATGAAGCAAATAGAATTTCTCTATTTTTTAAAAAAATTCATACATATACATTTATATTTTATTTCAGAATATGCATAATGTATTAGTAATAACATACATATCCAGTTGTAAATAAATAGCTACACTTATTACTGCCTGTCTACATAGTTACCAGTAGGAATACTTAATCAAAAAAACTTTAAAAGACCAAAGTTCTAACGAAGTACCTACCTACTGATAGACACCAAAGGGAGAACATATGCTTTTTAAAAAATGATACACAGATGTCTAAAGATTTAAAATATAATCAAAGAAAAAGTAGTGAAATACAGATAAGAATATTGTATTATACAGGCCAGTGGGCTCATTTATAGATTGATTGTTCAGATATTTAATTCATCATAAAATAGAAATTATCCCTGTTTTTTACTTGCCAAATTGAGTTTTAATGACAAATAAACTGTAATTTTTCAAATAGTTTTAAGCAATTTAAGTATATGCACAAGTTTTCACATGTAATGGTTTTTCCTTTTTAGTTTATAGCTGACATTTAGATCAGTCTTTTTTAAAAATTGGCAATTGCTATAAATGTTGTCTTTCAAGGGACAATTTGTTTTTGCCTTTTGTGTCTTTTGGGTGGAAGGAATACAAAGTAACTTTAATTTTAAATAAGTCATCATAAGTCAGATTATTTTCAGTGTTCCTCAAATTAGTAGATACTGCTTTTACAACCAGGAAACATTTAAAAGCATAGAAATACCTCCTAGTAGAACTAAAGATAAGTTCCATATCTTCCAAGTTACCTAAGAGAATGGTGTAAGGAGAGGGGAGAAGGAACAACAATAAAACAGAAAACAAGTAGCAAGGAAGCAGTACAAAATAGGGGGTAAATTATATAACAAGTTAAATGAAGCATGTTACAACAATAAATGTAAATAGGATAAACTTACCTTTTACAACAAAAAGGCTCACTAAAGTATACCTACTGTTTATAAGAGATACACATAAAAGTTATCATTCAAAGAACTTGAAAATGAAAAGATGGGGAATATTCAGAGCAAATTAGAGCAAAGAAAACAGAAGGGAGTCAATATTTAGTTTGACAAAATTTAAAAGTAAAAATTAATAAATGGGTCATATTATAATTATTATACATGTAAGCCATAATGATGATGTCAAGAATTTATAACTTCCAAATTATTAAGATCTAAAATATGTAAAAAAATATTCAAGTAAAAAGAACTTTTAGAACTCAGTAGAAGTTTACAGATTTTAGAGTATTTTTCTAGGTGACAGATCAAGCTGATCATTCTATATTCTGAACTTTTATTTAATTTAATTGATATATAAGACAAATAACTCCATATTCTGTGAACAAAATACATCTTTTCCATTACTCATGAAACATTTATGAAAATGAGCTAACTAATAAAGATAAGGAGGAAATGATACAATACCTTTGTTTTGTTTATTTATTTTTATGTAGTGCTGAGGATCGAACCCAGTGTCTCACATGTACTAGGCAAGTGCTCTAGCACTGAGCTACAATCCTGGCCTGGAAATTTGATAATTTTCAGATTTTCTCTAACAACTCTTGGGTCAAAGAAGAAATCAGAACTGCATTTCTAAGATATTATCTAGATAATATGATAAAATTAGAGTAGACTTTTTATTTTTATATTTTTAGATATCAATGGACCTTTATTTTGTTTACTTATTTATATACAGTGCTGAGAATTGAATCCGGTGTTTCACATGTTTGAGTAAAGCACTCTACCACTGAGCTACAACTCCAGCCCTTCTGTATTTTATTTTTATTCTGATGGACTGTGTGTGTTTTGGTTTCAGGAAGATAGTTTGAGTAAAGCATTGAATTTGAAATGTTTTCTGACCCTCTCTAATATACAAAACACTTTGTTATATGTGAGATAGAACTAGAATTGGAGCCTTGGAAACTTATGATCAATTGGACTTTATTATAGTAAATTCTTTGGGATGAACATATGGAAAATCTTCAGTCATTTCTTTATGGGTTTAGTGTTCTGTGTGATGATTTTAATTTTCAACAGAGATGATTATAGTACTCATGAGGAAGAAAAGAAATAGATTATTAGGGTAGATTGATTCAACTATATAAAATTCCCAGAGATCTTGGTTCTTTTTTTAACTCTATCCCCTTTTAACAGCCCCAGTTCATGGGATAATTCAACTTCTTTGTGCTTCAAACTCTGTATCTATAAGAATTATGATACATAGTTCTTTATGCATGTTATTTTGAGGTAGCTGTGAATCAATTTGTTAAGTAAATATTAAACATCAACTCCTTTTTGGTCTGCAGTGACTGAAACTATGCTCTGGTGGGGGAGAGAGAAAAGCTTAGGGTGCCATGAAAACAGAGGGAAGTGAGTATATCTTGAACGGAGAAGGAAGGAGAAGCAATGTAACATTTGAGCAGATCTTGAAAATTAATAACAGTTTATCTAGTGAACAAGGAAGGGGAGAGAGCTCTAGGTTCATGAAATAGAAGATCCAGAGGCAGAAACTGCATTTTATTTTTGGAAAAGTAGAAGTCTTTCATGTGACACTAAGCATGGGCTTATGGAGGAGTAGCAAAATATTATGCTTCTTATTATATTGAAGAATATGGTTCTTAAAGACAAAAACCATAGGGCTTTTTAAGATTTATAGTGACGCAGCCACTTCAATGTCTATAGCAACTCAGTTTGCAATAGCCAAGCTATGGAACTAACGTAGATGCCCTACAACAGATGAACGGATAAAGAAAATGTGGTATATATACACAGTGGTGTATTATTCAGCCATAAAGAAGAATGAAATTATGGTATTTGCTGGTAAATGGATGGAACTGGAGCCTCTACATGCTGAGTTAAATAAGCCAGTCCCAAAGAAATCAAAGGCAGAATGTTCTTTCAGAATGTGCATGCTAACCCACAACAAGGGAGGAGGGAAGATTAGAAGTTCGTTAGACTAGACAAATGGGAACGAAGGGAAGGGAGTGGGAATGGGAATAGAAAAGATGGTGGAATGTATTGGACATATCTTTCCTATCCTATATGTGAATACATGACCAATGTAACTCTGCATCACATACAACCACAATAACGGGATCGTAATTGGAACAAGTTGTACTTTTTGTATGTATAAAATGTCAAAATACACTCTACCATCATGTATAGCTAGAAAGAACAAATTTTTAAAAAAGATTTGGTTGAACTGGATGCAGAAACAGCAGTTAGAAAACTGGCAGTTGATATGACAAAGTCTAAAAGTAAAGGCAGTAGAGATGATAAGTAGATTTTATTATATCTCTAAAATGGATGGGCTTCTGAGGATGGGTCAGAAATCCTGAAAGTACATGCAAGATTTGTTAAATGAAATGTGTTTTTCTTGGGAGAAGATCTGTGAATTTTATTAGATCAGACAATAGGGTTATTTGGGTAAATGTATATATTATAGGGCAAATTGATTTAATGACATTTACAAACTAAAGTTTAAATAATTAAAAGATGTACTCTAAAATCTATTTTTTTTTTCACTTTTTATAGTGGACAGACCAAAATCTCAGCAAGTTCGAACCTCTAGTACAATAAGGCGAACCTCTTCTTTGGATACGATAACAGGACCTTACCTCACAGGACAGTGGCCACGGGATCCTCATGTTCACTACCCTTCGTGTATGAAAGATAAAGCTACTCAGGTAAAGTACTCAGCTTTATTACCTTACAGTTTATCTGTTTTGATCATACTAAAGAAAGTGGAATGTAATTAAATTTTCCTGAACTTGAAATATGTCTAATAAAAAAATCCATTACTATAAATGAACTGTATAATAATTTTTTGTCATGTGGATTTTAGAAGTTTTAAGCACATTTAATATTTAATAAATAACAATAGTCTATCCTTTTAGAGACTTACATTGTAGTTGTTTTTTTTTTGTTTGTTTGTTTTAAATATGGTTCTGGGGATCGAACCCAGTGCCTCATGCATGCTAGGCAAGTGCTCTATCATTGAGCCACAACCCCAACCTATGTTGAAAATATAAACTTTTTTTGTTTGTTTTGTTTTGTTTCGTTTTGTTTTGTTTGTACTGGACATTGAACTCAGGGGCCCTCAACCACTGGCCGCATCCACAGCCCTATTTTGTATTTTATTTAGAGACAAGGTCTCACTGAGTTGCTTAGCACCTTGCTTTTGCTGAGACTGGCTTTGAACTCATGATCCTCCTGGCTCAGCCTCCCAAGCTGCTGGGATTACAGGCATGTGCTAAAATATAAGTAGTTTTTGAAGAAAAATTTATATAGTTCTTGAAAATAATTTATAGAGAATTAACACATGGCTAAATGATTTAAATTGAAGGTTGTTTCCTTTCCCTGTTGTTCACATTTTTTATGTGGAAGACTTTCTAAGCTTTCAATTTGAAACAATTCCTCCGATGACAGAAAAAAAATCTGAAAATATCTTTATTTATGATTATCTGAGTTGTTGACCATGTCTTCATCAGCATTTATAGACATTATGAAGAAGATTACAAAAAAAGTGGTCAATAGACTTGACCTGCAGTATAATTAGAAAGATAAATTTATAAAAGTTGATAATAGAAGATATTACATTATTAGATGAATGAGGCATGTAAACATGAGGGCATTTAAAAGAATTGAGTACATTTTGGGCTTTATAGATTAAAAAATAGAAGGATTAGAGTTTCATGTCTGAAGAATGGGGAAAAATGGAGAATTTTGAACATGATCATTGAAAACCTTGCTTCTTAATTTTTGTCATTTTTTAAGGCAAGCTTGAAACTGAAATTATCTGCTGCTTAATCATCCATCCCATCAGTTCTACCTTTGTAATGTTTTATATTACTAGCCTTTTGCTTTCCTCTCTTCTTTTAGTAAAGAAAAGAACAAATTTTATGTGGAAAGCAGTAGGATTCTTAAGTAGAAATAATTATTAAAACTTAATGTGGGTCTAAACATTTAGTGAGAGATCTAGACCCAAATGATTGAGAACCATCCCTCCAGAGGAGTTGGAGATACAGATGCAATAAGTGCAGACATAGAGGATAAAGAAAGTCCAGTGGCCAAGAACTTTGTTTTTGGAAAGGCACACAGAGGAAAAAACTAATTTATTCACTTAGAAGCACTAAGACAGAGGAGAGAGTTAATATTTATTAACTATGTTTCATAGTTTGTTTTATAGTCCATGTTTCATTTAATTCTTATAAAGAATATTACAACATTTTTCAGCTGGGAAAGCAGAAACTCAGGGAAGTTAAATGACTTATTTGGGATCATAAAGCTAGAAAGTGTTAACTCATTTCTAACATGCAATAACTGACACTACTAAAAATGGTAGCTATTTTTATTAGATTACATAATAATAATAACAACAACAATTAGAGGAGGGGGAATGAGATGGGGAGATACTGGGGAATTGATGACCAAATTATATTGTTCTGTTAATGTGTAAATATGTAACTATGAATCCTGCTATTATATATAATTGTAATGCACCAATTAAAAGTAATAAAAAAGAAAATATTTCATTGAACATAGCTTTGGCTGATACAATGACTCAGAAACATTATCTTATTTACTCTTAAGAAATGAAAAAGAAAAAAATCTAAGAGCAAAAGACTGGTAGAAAAACTAGTTAGTGTAGTCTTAGAAGCCAAAAGAGAAAACTGTTTTAGTTAAGAAAGGAAACACTGTTGACAGTATCAGATGCTAAAGAGAGGTCATAGAGAATAGAACTAAGGGATTAGGAGTACATTATCTTGCAAAATTCAATATTAATGATATGGTAGAGTAGTATGCTCAGAGTACTTGGTAGATAAGAAGACAGATTCAGTAGAGAAGAGAGAGCTGGATAGATTTCTTCTGCATATCTCTTTGTGCAGTGGCAATAATTAAGTCTACCTTGAAATGTTGCATTATTAAATATAATATTTTAAAATAAACATGGAAAATACTGTAAATACGTGTTGAGTTATTATAGACCAGCCTACTTATAACATTTGTGAAGTCTGTACCAAATATAAAGACCCCCCATAGCACATGTGTGTAATATGTTTCATCTTCCCATTTTTGACAAATAAATCTTCATAGGGACCTGTAAGATTTAAGTTGAGCACTATGGTACATGCCTATAAACCCAGAGACTTGGGATGCTGAGTAGGAAGATTTTAAGTGCAAGTCCAGCCTCCACAATTTAGCAAACCTTGTCTCAAAATAGAAAGAACTGGGGGTATAACTCAGTGATAACACACTCCTGGGTTGAGTCCCCAACACTGCAAATAAATAAATAATAATAAAAGGTCAGGTTTGAACTAAGAATTCTTGGACTCTTCAGTTATATGCCAGAATGTGTCTACATGGGCCAAATCCATCTCACCTCTGAGCCTAAACACCATTCTGTTCCTATGTCATACTCTATTCTTACTTTGAGGTGGCTTTACACACAGTTCTGGAATCTTCCTACCTCCAAGTGCTCACAGTCAAGGTCCTTCCATACCATTTTAGGAAGTGAGACCTAGGGGATAGATCCTTGCAGATTCTAGAAGTCAAACTTCCATTGTATGGACATGGAATTCCTGGTTCTAGATAGACCCAGAGCATACATGATCTGTAGCAGGGCATTAATTCATGGTGTGCATTCCTTTGACCCCAACTTCTCTTCACCTCTTGGGGAGGAATATGACTGGAAGAGGGCCAGAGTAATTTCCCCTAAATCTTGAGGTTCAGGATGAGGACTTGTCTTGCCTGTTTCTATATAAGGTCATCTATTTGAGAAACTTGTTATTTAAAAAAAGGGAAAAATATGCCTCATTTTTCAGATGTGGAACCTGAGGCTTAGAAAAGTTAGGTAATTTAAGTAGCTAGTTAAGTTTGAAGAGCTCTGAACCCAGATTATGTTGATTTCAAAGTGTTTACCTTTTCTCTAGTTCTGCACTGCCTCTCATAGAAAACCACTAATAGATAAGCAGCATTTAAACTAGCACTTGCCTCACAAGCAGTGTCTTTCCCCCAAGCATCTATTAGTTTAATTGAAGATTCAGAAGGTGAGCATACGAGCTGCTTTTTATGGCCACATTTATTCCTCCTGGATTAATTTCTGAACTTTTAGGGAGTGAATAAGTAAATTTCTGTTATTTGGTGGAGAGGTGGTAGTTTGCCCAATTTACTACAGATATTCAACACCTGGGCTGCCTGCCCTTGGGTGAGGGGTATCTCCAGCATCTTCTTTCTTTTATAGTTATGTTTTAACTACTGTAATTGTTTAGGGCTAGACGTAAAATTCTCCATCCTCTTTTAAGTAAAACTTATGTTTATTGTATAAAACATATATATGTATTATAAAGCGTGTATATTTATATATATATGATTAAATTAAATCTATTTAACATGTGCCTCATCTCACCTATTTTTTTTTTATGAGAATACTTCAAATCTACTCTCCTAGCAATTTTCAAATACAGTCATATATCACATGACTTAGTTGGGAGTACAGTCAGAGAGATGCATCCTTAGTTGATTTCATAATTATACATCCATAGCAGAGTTCCTTTCATACACCTAGTTGGCATAGGTTAATCACCTACTGTGGCCTCTTTTTATATATATAGTAGATGAACACAATACCTTTATTTTATTTTATTTATTTATGTGGTGCTGAGCATCAAAAGTGCTCTGCCACTTAGCTACAACTCCAGCCCTCAGTGTGGCCTCTTGATGAAGATACAGTTAAATACTGTGTGAGGCTACTTCTGACATAGGACAGCATACTGTTTTTCAAGTGGAAGAGTACACTCTACAATGAAAAATACAGCATAGGAAATACATAAATAAGTAGCAATCATTTATTATCATGATAAAATAGTATGTAATGTATATATATCAATATGTACTATAATTTTGCACAAATGGCAATAGGTTTTTTAATGAAATAGGTTTCTTTTTATCAGCAGCATCACAAGTAGTTGAATTATGTGCTATGATATTAAGAGGGCTCTGATAAGATGATAGGAGTTTTTTCAGTTCCATTATAATAATATGGTATCCCTGTTGCTTTATCAAAATGTTATGCAGTACTAAACTGTATTCAACATGCCATTATTAACTGCAGTCACGATGATATATAATAGATCTCTTGAAGCTGCTGTTCTTGTCTTTACTGAAATTTTGTGTCCTTTGACATCTCCTTTATCCCTTCCCCATCTTCTGGTTACCACAGTTCTCTGTTTCTATGAGTGAAATATTGTATATCTGGATAGAGTTTGGGGGTTATAAATATGAATACATTCATCACAGTTTATCCTAATACACTTGTGCATTTTACCACATAACTCTTAACCTTAAAAATATAGAATATAAGTTTCTAAAAAACTGGACTCTTAGGATGTTTAGGCCTATTTCTTGCAACTTAATTTGAAATGAATAAAAAATAAGATAGATTAATGTATAGATTGATAAATATGTAATGAAGCAAATACAGAAAAATTATTATAAAGAGAATTAAATGTTGGATTTATAGATATTCACTGAGTAGTTTTTGTTTTTACTTTTGCTCTTCTGGGGATCAAACCTAGGATCTTGGCATGCTAGGCAAGTGCTCTACCACTGAGCCATACCATTAGTTTTTTAACTGTTCTGTTGGAAGTTTTTCTTAAGAAAATGTTTTATTTTGTGTTTTTTTTTA